ATATTTTTTGTTACGCTCGTTATATTGTAAACTATTTCGGCTATAGTTTCAATATAAAACTGAAAGCCAACCGAGAAGTGTTTAATATATAATGTAATCCGCCACGGTGGTGCATGAGGTCGGGGTGCTCAGCCGTTGACTCGAAAGATGCGGGTTCGTTTCCGGCCGCGGCCGTCGCATTTCGAAGGAGGCGAAATGCTTTAGATGCCGGAGCCCATCCCGGCGTGCCTCATAATGGCATTGCGGCACGTAAACATCCAGATGTTATGCTTAATGATGCATAAAAAAGCTTCTCAATCAAAGGCTTACAATGCTTTGCACAACTCAGAATGTTTCCTTCGCGTACATAGCACTCTATTCAGCGTCCCTTCTCACCGTTTAAATGATTTTCCCACTACGCGACACAAGCATGCAGAGATTATAATACTATAAAAAGCGGCAGCAGAAAGTCAGTGTCGCTATGTGGACACACTCCTGTTGAGGCCTTGTATAGCATTTTCTCGCCCAGATGACAGCCGTCAAAATGCGTAGCATCGGGTGCTGTCAAAAAATAAAATGGACAGAAACTATATATATGAACGCCGTATACCTTATCGGGTGGTGCCCCCCGCACATACTACGTGTACGCTCCTGACCGGAAATATTTTGCAGCATCGCATCGCCACGCCTGCCAGGTGTTATGGGGATCATGTCGTTAGCGTCTCTCACGCTTTATTTCTTCTTGGATTTTTTTTTCTTTCAGCCACGAGATTGCAGAGGGCACTTTGCAGCTTTGCGCGTGATGTCGTCGAAGCTTTTGTTTTGTAGATAAATTGGGCACAAACTTCATGCGTTTTCCTGTTTGAGGTCTCGTACAGACTTTCGAAACACGGATAAACAGCTGTTTTGTAGCAGACGATGCTTCGTGGCGCTGCTGAATAATTTCGTTCGAGGGCAAGCCAATGCCCTGCTTCCAGCTCAACAAACCGCCAAACGAATCAAACAAGCGGAGTAAACCAAGCGCACTCTTGCATCAGCTACTCTCCTGAGGTAACTTCGGATCTCACTTTAAACTTTGATTCAAAATAGAAACGCGATAATTGAACACGTAATAGATAATCTGCAAACTTGTCTGTGTGTCTGTGATGTGCGCAAGGTTTTCGTGTTTTGTCGCCCGCTAAACAGAGTTTTTCGCTTTTTAGGATGATCTTCGTTATACGCACATACTCTACAGATTCTTTTGTTGCACTATGTGAGCTATATACTAGCACGATTTCGCTAAGTTAACACGTATTGACGTAATAGTATACCTCTTCACATCCTTAAACAAATAATTTCGCGCTTGTCAGTTGCGAACACTTTGTCCATTCATATGATTCGTTTTGCCGCTATAACTATATAACATGAAGCCGGCACACACATATGCCCGAATGCGGTGCATGCAGTCGTTCAGTTTTGAGGTTGTTAATGTCCGTTCGGAAACCTATATACAGTGGAGTAACTACGTCGGTGGCCTGGCAGATTCATTATGCGTTCGTGTTATTGCATCACGAATATCGGCATCTGAACCCCCCCCCCCCCCACCCTTTGTTTTCCAGCAAATATGACGCAGAACTCGTCGTTTAAATAGACGACCTTCTGCCGGGGAATGTCATACCAGTGCGTACACATGTTACGGACGTAATAACAGCTGTTCCCCATAGTGCTCGCACATGTACATGTCGCTAGCCATCTGTACAGCATTTGTTAATTTGTCCCGGACCCAGACATGGATATTATGCTCGATATAACTAAAAAATATGGTAAAAAATTGAACAGGCTCTGTTTCTGTGCTCCACGAAAGACCACGCGTGCTTTGCCGCTCAACGTCAGTATACGCAACAGCAGAAGTGAACTATATTCGCAAACAAAAATGGGAAATTAACGGAGACATGCGGCCAGAACGCTAACATTATTGTTACTGCAGACTGCAATTATACTCCCCTTCCATCCTTCACCGGGTCGTCTATATTGCCAAAAAAGTCAGAAAGGACATAGTTAATGTTAGTCGATAAGCTTTAGGAGTATAGTAACGGTACGAACATCTGTACATAGATGGCGTGCTCTAAGGTGGGCACGGTCTTGTGGTAAATCGAGCCCACAGCCTATACGTCACGCATATTTTGTAAACTACGCTCAAAACAAGTATCAGGCATGTTCATGTGTGCGTTTCCACATACGTTAGTTCTCAAGTTGCTGTACAAGAACGGATACATGAGATGTGGACGCAAACGTGTAATAAACAATGCTACTACGCAAAATGTACATGCACGTAACTGTTTTTCAAAAATTCGGTAGACATAATGTGATATTTCAGAGTAATGTGAGAGTAAGCTGGTGATCTCTCATAAAGCCCTTATACTTTAAAATGGTTCTCAAAGACTTCGACGATAAGAGGAAGTATGCGGAACTCTTTCCTTTTAAGCAGTTGAAATCCCCCCCCCCCTCTGAAACTCACATAATGATGCTGGTTAAACCTGTAGTCAAATTAATTGGTTTATGTCAGTATAGGATCGTTCACATTGGCCGCTTCTTTTACTTTATAACAAACGTTTTAAGTGTAGTCCTGCAAGTGTTTTGCGCATTCATTTTCAGAGGACGTAATGCGGCGCATGTTAATTATTCTACGCCTGCAGTCGTGGTGTACCTACATCAACTAGGTTTGGTTTACATCAACGAACACTGAATTGAATTGGGTTGTTATTGACAGTGTATATATGTGCGTTATGGAAAAGCATTACGTCTCAGATGTATGCGTACCAGTGAACTGCATGAGAGTCGGATATATGTTTACGCCGAAAACTCACAAACGATGCTCTTGCAAACGTATCGACACGCCATTCAAACTGACAACATGGTATGGTGGTTTGGGGACGTTAAACCCCACATATCAATCAATCAACTGACAACATGATAGTTACGTGGAGATATCTTGCATGCGCCACGCAGATTCATATTTACCTCCAAAGTATTCAACACATGACACTATTCGAAACACAAACGTGGTTACGATGCAGACACAATTCATTATCACGCATCTGTGGGAGTAATTCCGGTCTACCTGTAGAATGTGGTTGTGCGTGTCGTTCCACAATACTAAAGTTAGATTCTTTATGTGTTGCACTCTTCTCAACGCGGTAACTGAGCAGTTTACTTCGCATCTGTCACATGTTTGTTTGTCACCACAGGCTCTGCTCCACGCTATACATGTTTGCTGCTTTGTCACATGTATGTGTGTTGCTACAGGCTCTGCTTCACACTATACTACTCAAACATGTGTACTTTGTTGCGAATGGTATGTTTAACTACATATATAGTGCAGTAAGGAGTAAAAGAAATTGGGATGAGAGAATTCTAATATTGGTAGTTCTTTGAAAGAAACTGCAAACAAGAAACACAAAGAACTGCTCTTTCGTGTGAGGCCTGATATTCGAATCGGGATGAGAATACTAAAAACATTTTGGCACATGCAAAACGCAACTGAGCATTGCACTGTTTGACATTAATTCCAACGTGTGAAAAGTCTGTGTTCACTTAGATACTGTGCACACAATCTTTACAGAAATGAACACCTTGATGACCTCGGTGAAAGTGGTTCGGATTACATGATGAATAACAATCGTGACAAGAAACTAGGATTATAAACGGTAAGCTTACTGTTATTTGATTCTCTGTACAGAGACGAGCGCTAAACTTAGTACTTCCAGTACTAAAGTTTCCGAGTTCACGCTGTTAACTGATATCCGAGGACAATCGGTCCATATGCACGGCTTCAGAACTTTGACATTTCGTTCTCGACAGAGCGCGAGAAAAGGTATACGCGTCTGATCTCGTCAGCAGTAAATCAAGAAACGTTTGAGGAACTGTCATGATCACACTGTCATGTCTGCCAAGCATTAGGACATCACTGCTCAAGCGCTGAACAGAGCTGTCGACGGTACTCCTGCATGCTGATTTATACTTTTCGCACGTATTTTTTAATTTTTTTTTGGCGTCACAGACTTCAATAAGAGGGTGAGATAAGGACGTCCGGTGCTTGTTACTTCGTGACATGTTGACGCTTACTACAATCCGTGAAAACCACATTTTTGTGTAAACTTACAAGAACCCACACAGACATCAACAAGCACGGCACCGAAGAATGCGAGATATAGACATGTCATTTTCTCCTGGTCTATCTTGGCTTCCACATTAGCAGCACATAAGAATACCAGTCATACTGTTACAACATATTAAAGAGCATCTGAATCATGGAAGTCACATGAGAATGCGCACTGGTGTTACTTATATAACTTATTTCCACCACAAATTTCGAAACATAATGCCACTTAATGAGTGAACAAGCCAAGATAACCATATAAGCACTCGAATATGGGTCACTGATTAGGAGAGCTTCCCACGTGGGCCACTTAATCTAAGAGGGAGCGTGCGCTTCGTCAAGCGCAACCGCCATGCAACGGATCTTTGCGAAGGGCACGCTGATATCACGCAGTATGCCACAGAGAGTCACGGGCAACACAGTTTCATGCGCGCACGCCTCGGGCAAACATGACAGGTAGGGAATAACCTAGAAATGACACATGTCTACCAACATCGGTTAGGCTTTGCACGGTAATCACAATCACATGGCAGTATATCCACATTCCTCCAACGCCTTCTAAACCGCTTACGACCACGCTTGTCCAGCCCTAATCACACACACTGAAATGCATCATCTGATGCCGACGAGGCAGACAGCGGCTCGAAAGAAGCGCTGTTTACACGCCGGCTGGCACGTCGCGTTGCGAGCGCGTTCGCGAGCAGCGACAACGGTCGACAAGCGCCCGAGGGGCAGCGAAAACGAGGCCGAGCGGGCACTTGATCGCACGTCGTCGCCAAGACACTGCGGCTGCATACGCACTGCTATTTTGGCGACCGAAATAGCAGCGTGCAGGCTGCTGCTGTCCACGTGGAGGCCCAGGTAGGTAGCGCCGTCGGCCTACCTGGCAGTCGACGCTGGTCCGCGCCGCGGTTCAGGCAGCGGGCAATCCAGGGAGGGCCATGGCCTGTCGTCTCGGGGTCGGTCTGGCACACGCGTGCACACGCCACACGCACGCGCACAGAGAAACGCGGCCGCTGGGCGCGCTGTGCAGTCTCCCGATCTCGTCTGACGAGCGCGCTCCCTCTCCCCTGCGGCCAGTTCGCGGCCCAGCCGCGGGGCGGCGGCGCGGCGCGGCGTCGGGCCAATGGCAGCGCGCGGCCGCCCGGCGCGGCCAGCAGCGCAGGCCTCCGCGCCGCTCAACTCCGCCTCGCCGGCGGCCCCGGCCCGCGCTTTGTGCGCAACTCCGCCTCGGCCTCCGCGCCCGCCCGCCGACGCTCAGTTGGCGCCGGTCGCGGTGTAACTATTATCCCGGCACTAGTCTGGCAAGTAATAATAATACAAGGGGCCGGCCCCGGAGCAGCCCCGCAAGAGAGAGGGCAACAAATTAGCATCGCTGTCGACAAGCCGCGCCAACATCGGTACGCAGTTGTCAAAAACCGATCCTGGCTGTCCTCCTCCTCCAAGGCTCCTTTTTGTTACTGCCTCCACGGTTAAACACCAACCGCCGAGAGGGCATCCGCGACCTGTGTTCGGGGGCTGTCGCGCACAAAGGGGGACTTTTCTCCCGGGGGCTAGCTCGAGCCCCTGTCCTGGGGTTTGCTCCCCGTGACGGGGGTTTCCCTGTTTATACCAGCAGTGTGCTGCCAACTTGTGCAAATACCTTAGGTCTCAGCCGCGACGCCTTTGTGTGCTCATGGACCCCGTGGTACACGCGGGTGCTAGCACCACTGTCGTCCTCTCCTCCGACAAAGCCAAGATAACTCGGCAGCTCGTCTACATGGGCTCCCCATGTGTACACGCCAACCGCTGCTGCCTGGGAGCGTTTTCGGTCGGCCAGATGCCCTTTTTCCATGCACGCACCGCTCTGTCGCAGGATGAAAAGCAGCCCCTAATAAAACGCAGCCTCGGCTCCTGTTTCCATGGTCTTCAGTTTCCCTTTCGGATTACGTCGAGGCGTGCGCGCTGCCCTCATTCTTCTTTATTTCTTCACATTTGTTCTGGAGCTTTCCTAGAGAACATGGCGCCTACATTTGTCGAGAGCGGACATCCTGAGAGAGCATATGAAAGAAGTATACATACGTTTCAGGAGCTGATAGAGGAGACATGTTGAGTTTGTTCTTATTGATTCTTCCGTAGTGGTCAGAAACTAGCTGATTCACCTTTCCGTCATGGAAAAGGACAGAAAAATAAATGAAAGACAAGAAGATTAACCGGAGGAGACCTCGTGGTGTCCCCTTCGCCCATCCTCTACTTAAAAAAAGAGAAGAGAGGCGGGAAAGAATGTTCTGGGACAGATTAATTACCGCAGGTACTCACATCTTCTGAGGTGATACACTTCAACTGCGTTAGTATATGATGTAATAAGTAAACAGATGGGGAAATGCGCTAGACGATACGTCTTCATAATGAATTCTCAAACACGCACACGAAAAAGAAATCTAGAAGGAAACAACCTTCAATTGAAATGCAAACTCCACATATCAGTTCTTCGCATGCTTGAAAGTAATGCTGTATATAGAACCCTCTCCCCACCCACCATGCACTTTTTCTTTAGAATCGTAGGTTTTTAGTAGGATACCGCGCCTACATAAAGCCATGTGCAAAGTTTCATTCTCAGAGTCTTTTATCGTGCTGTCGCTCATATGCGGTGAGTACATTCTCGTACTCATGCATGAAGCCAAAGAATGATGCGACCAGCAGAGAAAAGATCTGAGCGGTCAGCATTTTGTGCCCAATGTAACGCCGTTGAAGGCATCAATCATGTCCTCTGTGAGTGTACGAAATACGCATCAGAGAGGCAGTCTCTGAAGATGGCCTTAAATATACAACGGAGGACGCAAACTTGAAGGTAAAAAATATTTTAGGCCCATGGCAGAACACCTGCTGTGCGTTAGACTTTACTAAAGCGCTATTGACGCTCTTACGGGCCACAGGCTTGAACGAAACGTTGTAAATAGTACAGTGCATGTGAGTGACTATGTGTTATGTGACTGTTATGTGTGTATGTAACTGTATGTGTTGTGTGTTTATCATTGTATATATCACTGTCATCACCCGGCAACTGGAGTAGCCTGTCAGGTGAAAAGCCGGACAAACCTCTCCAGCTGCCCATTAAAGTAATTCTCTCTCTCTCTCTCTCTCTCATGCATGAGACCTTCATATCCGTGCTTTTCTCATATAGTTTAAAACATAGATGTGCATTTTGCGTAGTGCGGGGAGGACAGTTAACTTTTGAAACTACATTTCTTTATTGGTGCATTTCTGTTTAATTCTTTTTTTATACATTTGTTTTCGTATATATTGAGGCTGCCGGGCTCCTTACTGGGCAATCAATATTATGGTTAATATTAAGCATGGCAATAATAATAATAATAATAATAATAATAATAATAATAATAATAATAATAATAATAATAATAATAATAATAATAATAATAATAAGAATAGTAATAATAATAATAATAATAATAATGTTGACGATGATGATCTGGCAGACTCCTCCTGGCATCTGTCGGACAAGCGAGGCATGCTGCAGGACTGGTGGACTTTGTTCACTGTTTAAAGTTCATGACAAGCATGTGAGATCAGCACAAGGGTTCATGCTGCATTATTTTAAACCAGAATATGCAACTTCCATTCACTAAACGTTTGAAAGAGAAAGAAGCCAGAACGCTGAAATATCTTGTCCTTGTTGCCGACTGCTGCGAACTTAGTACTCGCAGTGGTCTTCTGCGCGACTGTCATTGCCTCTTTTTTTGCTCGGTAAAAAGAGCGGGAGGCAAAACCACTGGGGAAATGCAAAGAGGTTAACCATACTGAGCAGGGGGACAGTAATATAACATCCGGGGCTTTACGTCTCAAAACCATGATGTGATCATGAGAGACGCCGTGGTATATAGAGAGGGGGCTTCGAAAATTTCGACCATCTGGTGTTGTTTTAACGTGCACTGCCATCGTACAGAACATGGGCCCCTACCATTTCACCTCCATCGAAATGTGACCGTCGCGGCGGGGATCGAACCGGCGACTTTCATGTCAGCAGCCGAGCACCATATAACCGCTTTTCCACCGAGGCAGACGACTGAGCATGGTTATCTACCCTACACTTTTAAGCGAGAAATGGGAGATGAGACGGAAGAGAGAGGTATTGCGCTATACCGCACAGCATGCGTGCGTAAAGGTTTTGCCGCCTCAAAAATGAACGAACGAGATCGCAGAACACATTCGGAATGAACGATCCTCACTCAATATGACCATGGCCCCACGCGTCGCAGTCTTACAATGCGACGCGAGCATTGCGACATGTCTCAGTGACCGATTGTATACGCAAAGAGCTGTCGTAGGGCTTCCACGCTGATAGCACATCAGGGTTGTCACTGGTGGCTACTTTTCGACAAATTGGCGAATTTGAGAGGCCCCTGGCGACCTAAAAGTATAAATGGTGATACGGCGAATTTTTCAGGATTTTTTGGCTTAGATTTCGACTGAGTTATGCTTTCTATAATCGGTGTGTTCGCAAAGAATGAACCACAACAACCTTTCCCCCTTTTCGTAGTTTCAGACACGCCAGTAGATGGCACACTTTACGCGCGATTCAGTACGCGTCTGTCCTGTTTCTCGTTCTCGTGAGTATCTCGAAAAACTCACCTAAATCCAGGAGGTCCTGGTACGTCCGCCAGCAACCTCCCAGCAAAATTCAGGTGAGCGGACTGCTTCGCGTGCTGCGAGGTGTTGGTTTTATACAAAGTTGTTTACGTCCTTTAAGAGCTTTAAACTTTATTCTTTAAACCTTCGCTTCTGAAGTGGCAAGGTGGTGGTTACGCCGCGTGTTTCAACTACAGCTCCGATTGTCCTCATTATCTGGTCGACATTTTCACTACTGTATCACCCTTCAATTCGGTACGTGGAATTTAAATTTGTGTTTAACATACTTTTCGGGCATGACCAAGAAGTCAGCCTCTTTGTGCGGACTTCAGAAGCTGCAGTGAAGCGTATGTGTGGCATGCACAGAAAGCGTGGTGCGAGCAGTATGCATTCGAGTGTATTTCCGTTGCATTCGAAGTAAGTTGTTCTATTATTGGACACATGATTCCACTGAAGTAATATGCTCTAAATCTGCTGGAAGGCGACGTATACACCATCTCTTTATATATTGTTGTGGCGACTGCTTCGCCCTGTATTCGCTACAATTTAAACCATCACAAACATTTGTTACGAGGCGCTAGCATTCAGGGACGCTGCATGGTGCACCCATTCCCTTTATCTGTGCCCCCCATGGTGAAGCGAGGGATGTGACTCGAAGCTCACTATGCCCTCCTATATGGTGGAGCACGTGATGCGACTAGCACTGAAAAACGACAATATAATTTAGGGTTTATGGATAGTAGCGTACACGGGGCGATATATAATTAGGAATTTTTGTTACTAGGAACGTCGCGCATGTAGATTGGTGACACTTGTGGTGAAATTGAAGAGAAATGCTGACTTTTGGTGACTTTTCACTCGTGCTTTGGCGAATTCCACTTGAACGTTTCTCTTGTCTTTTTTTTTTCTTTGGCATAATTTAATGCTTTTCGCCCAGCGTAGGGTAGCAGACTGGTCGTGCGTCTTGTTGACCTCCGTAGCTCTCCTTCTTCTCTTAATGCTTCTCATGCTCCCTGGCTTGCTAATCACGTGGCCATATAAACAAATAAAATAATGTTTTTCATCTGCGTGTGTGCATAAGACAACTTCACAAGTCACCAATATACGGCAGGAGGAAAGAGACAGAACTGTTTTCTGACAAGGCCTGTACATTCCGGCTCGTGTGAGAACAAGAACAGCAGTGAGGTGAGCAAAAAAAAAATCAGAATAGCATTATTCAAATACATCCCTGTGAAGAAACCTTATGTGGTTTGGTACTTTTGCAATATTTGTCAAATGTTTACAGCTGTTATAGTACCAGAGGACGTTCTGAAAAGCTAGAAACACCACAACATCGACATGACGCACACAGGTGAATCAGATGTTAAAGGGATCGATGCACCACAAGCATTATAAGCATTGTTTTTCTAC